AAGCTATATAAAGGAAGGTGTCATCAAAGGCATGTGGATTTATTTGATATTGAGCCGGGCTCGTGCTGACTCATCCGTCCAGAATGCTTTTAGTACACTTTAAATTGTGCTTATGGCAAATTATTTGAAGATAAGATCAAATAAGATAAGATGAACCTTCATTCATCTCCATGGGGAAATTCAGTAACAGGGTGAGAATGAAAAACAGGACAACACAGATTCACACAGATTAGAGATGAATAAAGTTAAAGATGAAATCAAAGATACAAATAAAATGATATATTACCGGAAAATATGACCGGATTTTAATTTGACGGAATTCTACTTTTTTTTGTAATGTTTAGCAGAAACACGGAGGTGTCATCACCTACCTCTGGAGAAAAGTTCCCCACCCGGTAGGAGATGTATACAAATGAGGCCGAGCCGTAAGAGATGGACACCACGATCAGATGGGCGGCACACGTCCCGACAGCCTTCAGCCTCTGAGCCACGCCCATCCTGGATATGGAAACACCGATCAGGACGTAGGAGGTGAGGATGAGGACTCCTGTGGTCAGGAGCGACACCAGGGCAAAGGAAAGCGACACGATGTTATCCGCCGACGTGTCACCGCACACCAGCCGGCGTACGGACGACGGGTCACACCAGCTGTGTCTCACCACGTACGGGCCGCAGTAAGACTGCCGCCACCCCATAGTGGCGGCCGGCAGCGTGCAGAAGGCGCCGAAGCTCCAGGCTCCCGCGATGAGGATTAGCCTCACGGGTCGCGTCATGATGGCCGTGTAGCGCAGAGGGTTGCAGATGGCCACGTAGCGGTCGTACGCCATGACGGTCAGGATGGCACGGCCGGTAACGGCTAACTGGATGAAGAAATACATCTGCAGGAAGCAGCCGGGGACCGAAATGGTTTTAACGTGTGTCAGGAGGCCGGACAGCATGTTGGGGATGGTGGTGGTGGTGTAGACGATGTCCACAAAGGAAAGGTTGGAGAGGAAGAAGTACATCGGAGAGCTGAGCTTCGAATCTGTCAACGCCTGCAGGAGAAAAATGGCAGTTCTTACGAAACCAAGACTTCAGGTCAGACTGTGGCAGAGATACTGTACTGTGTAAACAGGGACCCACATGTGCCGTATCATCTTTGAGCATCTATCAGCCTGCCAGAAGCTGAGATAAATGTTATTATACAGGTTTCAGCTCCATTTGAACCATTTCCACCATTAGTTACTGCTTTATTCACAGTTTTTACCACTTTATGTCAGATCAAGGCAGAGCAGACGTTTACATGTAACAGCATGACTGAACAACAGACCCTGACAGATAAAGAGATTTAGTTTTGTACCACAAAGATGATCATGCTGTTTCCTCCCAGGATGATGATGTAACCCAGAAGCAGGATCACAAACAGGATAATCTTTTTCTCTCCGAGGCTGGCGAGGCCCTGGATGAAGAAAGTGATATCGGGCTCCCAGGTGACGTTAACAGATCCCGACCTGTGATTGGTCGGCAACGGCAGGAAAGACTCTGGGGATGGAGGGAGACAGGGAAGAGAGGCGTTAGTGATTTACTGGTTTATAGCATTTCTATCATTTCTAATATAAAAACATTAAGACAATGAAAACACTTATAATAGTACAAAAATACACATTTAAAATGCTCCAAATGCCTGGTATGAACCCCCTGTCTCTGATGAACAAGTACTCAGTTAGTAGTTAAAGTACTAAGAACACAATGTATATAAAGCCCTGCAATCAAAAGTCTTTAAAGTACAAAAGTATTACAATCAAAATATATTTAAAATATTAAAAAAGTAAAAGTACTCATTCTGCACAATGCCCCATTTTAAAACACAGTTATTGGACAATACATGATCCGTTATTAGTGACTACCTTCTTAGTGCTATTGTCCAGAATCTTTAAAGTAACTAAAGTTATCGAATAAATAAGGCTGAGTATAAAGTACAATCTTTCCCTCTGAGTTGTGGTGAAGTAAACGGAAGTAGCAGGAACTCAAAGACAACTTGAGGTATGTCTACTTGAGTAAATAAACGTACTAATGTCCATCACTGCAGCTTTCTACATATTAATTCAATGTTTGTAAAGAATGAATAGGACAACAGATTAGCAGTATACATAAACGTAAGTTCCACACGTAAAAAACTGAAATGTTGACGACGTCGTAAATAAAATTCAGTCGTGTTTTTAATAAATCTGAATATAGAGATTTTTTTGTCTGCTCTAAAGTCATGTAGATTTAAACAACTAAACATCCTGACTCCACTTTAGAATCATACATTGTGAAATAATGCCTTCAAGCTTTGACATACAAACAAAACAGTCTATGTGGTCACTCCTTTGTAATTCTGCCATAATTGCTGACCCATTGTTTTCTAAGCGATAACATTGATCAGCATTAAACAGTGAAGCAATGAATGCAAAGCACAGAAACTCTCACAGACCTCTGGGGCTTTCAGGAGAAATATCAAAAAGGAAAAGCTCCATCTCTCCTCAGCAGACAGAACAACAGGCGGTGGACGCAGACACTAATACTGCCAAGAGACAACAAGCGCACAATGATTACAAATACTAATACAATAAACGTTTTGAACGTGACCTCACCCGTGCACAGGTTAAAATGAAGAGCAAACGAATAGTATTCAAAGCATCAGAAAGCTTTAACAAAACACCAATTATTGAACTCTGTTTAAAAGCCTGGAGATATTACCTGAGATCTGAACATCCAGCGTGGCTCGTCTCAGTCGGGTTCAGTCAGCACACTTTTATCCACATCCATGTTTTTTCCTTTTTCAAAAGCAACTGAGCTTTTTCTGATTATAACAGAGATAATTGTGAAAACAACCAACCTTAATGACACAAAGTGACATAACATCCCTTTCATTAAAAACATAAATTGTACACAGGACAGCAAAAGAATACCAAAGGGACCAATTTTAAGTTACCTATGTGGTGAAAAGAAAACACCTGGAAAGGAAAGCATCATAAACACGGGCCTAATTGTCCGTGTTGCCAAAGTAACGTGTGTATGCTTCAAATGTTTTTAATGTCCTAATTAAAGACCATAAGCTCTTTAGTTTAATTGCTTGGAGTCCAAACTTTACACGTTTAGTTCAGCAGGATAATCTCCACATATTAACAATCGTTTATAAATGTGTTATATAAATAAAACTTGATTTGATTTGAAATACATAACTGCATCGTCTTGTGTACCCGAGATTCTGCAGTTAAGTATTTTATTTGGATGTGCACTTTAAATACATTTCTGCAGAGTCTTGTGTATTTGATTCACTTAACATACCAGAGATCAGCATGTGAGTAATGTATGTGAAGTGGACATGGACTTATATCTCCCAAGTGTGTTAATGGGGTCAACGGGTGAGCATGGCCCCCAAACTTTGTGGGTGAATTCCCCCAGGACCCAATGTGTCCCTGTACCCACTTTGGAGCCTATGCAAGAAAGAATGTTGACATTGTCCAAACGTTTGCCTCAAATACCCGGGATCCTGGCGGCGTATTGGAAGTGGTCGTCCGCTTCAAACCCTACTGATGGACACGGTGTATTTCAAAGTGGATGCCTTGAACAGCGTGAGTCTGGTCGGGACTTTGGAAAGGGCCACAGACCCGCTTTTTTCCCACGGCAATCTGCCGGACGCCCCGAGTGCAACGAGCCCACCCGCTTATTTTTAGCGCCTCGTGGAGACCCCCCTCCAGCCGTCTGCTCGCACGTGCGGGGCCCCGTGTTAACTCGTGCGAAGCGTACGCGTCCACTCCGTGAAGCCCTTACGGTGAGTGACGCATACGAACTACTGCCGCCTACCTGTATGAAGAGTTGGAGTTGTACTCCAATGTAGATTCCTTATTTGTGAAAACCTACCTTGCAATGAATCAAATTTTGAATCTGAATCTGTTTCCGAAATATTTTTCTATAAATAAAGCAAATTATTATTATTATTATTTATGGGGTCAAGGTTATGTAACATACTGTATGTGTTAGTGTAGTGTGCAATTTGTTGGAATAAAGATTAAACTCTAAAATAGGAATCTCAACCAGATGATTTTATTTTACAATTTGACCAACCAAACCTTGTTTGTAAAAGACACATTTTCTAAAAACGAACAGTATAGGCCTATATGGGAATTTATACACAATCAACTTTATTTTACATTATTCATTTTCAAAGTTTCAAAGTAAGGGAAATACATAATAGCAAACAAACTTCCATTTGATCATATCAACACAAAACCAGATGACTGTTGGAGTGGATAACATTGGTCATTGGCTTTCTTTCTTTTGACATGTTACTCTTTGACAAACTGCACGGTTACGATCCGTCTTTCTGCAGTTTTAACATTTAACGTTTACTATAATGGTCTTTATCAAAGATTACAAGGAAGATCACTCCTGTTTAGAAAAAACATCCAGAATTAAATTCACGGTTTCAATTTTTTTAGATGGAATATATTTGACAAACACTTGTGTATTTCTTTGGACTGCAGCCCGTAGATGAGGGGCTTCAGGCTGCCAGGAACAACGTGAAACATAATGGCCCCTGTCTTCCTGTACTCCGGGTACTGGGGGAAGCGATGGAGGAGGAGGATGATGTAACATTTAACATATCAAATATAATTGAATTTATAAATAATCAAGAACTTTTTATTGTTGAACTTTCAGTTTTCTGAGTTAACAGCAAGGATATACATTACAGTAAACTAACATGTAAACAGAACTACATGACTCTTGAAATAAAAGAACTTGGTTAACTTCTCCCTCTTTTTACATGTTTGAAAAAGACAGCTTCTCTTTGAATCAAGTGTACGGTATCTGGTACAATTCCTACCTTTTGCAGTTTTAATGGGTATTGTTCGGGTTCAATTATTGAAAAATATAATCAGATATTAACTTTGATTGCCTTTAAATTCCTCACTAATGATAATCAGGTTTTGCAAATACAAATTAAAGAAAATAACACACAAAGTCATTCAGAATCAAATGGAGGGTTTCACTTGTTTTAGATGGAATATATTTGACAAACACTTGTGTATTTCTTTGGACTGCAGCCCGTAGATGAGGGGGTTCAGGCTGCCAGGAACAACGTGAAACATAATGGTCGCTATCTTCCTGTACTCTGGGTACTGGGGGAAGCGATGGAGGATGATGGGGAGAAACCCACTGACAAGCATCATGAGATACAGGCACAGATGTGTGCTGCAGGTCTTCAAGGCTTTGGTGTTCAAAGACTTGCTCTTGCTGGTCAAACATGCTGCTGTTATTTTGAAATAGGTGAGGACTACACCGCCGATAGAGGCCGTGAGCAGGACTACAGTAAACGTGAGGCCGTACACGTTATTGGCAAACACATTCTCACAGGATAGTTTGAAGATGGAGGCATTATCGCAGTAAGGGCTTGTGATTAAGGTCCGACACCGGTTCAGCCGTATGGTCAGACCGAGCAGAACGGCCACTAAAACGAAACCCACTCCCCAGGCAGAAACGCTCAGCTTAATCACCATGGTGCCGTTCATTATGGTAGCATAGCGCAATGGATGACAGATGGCCACATATCTGTCCAAAGCCATAGCCATGAGCACAGTGTGAGAGTTGGTGCCAAACATGTGTGTGCTGAACGCTTGTACCAGACATTCATAGTAGTGAATAAAGCGTTCAGACGGCGGCACCATGATGTCTGAGAGCACCCGGGGAACAAGGAGAGAGTTTCCCATAACGTCGTTCACCGACAGGTTACAGAAGAGGAGGTACATCGGCTGGTGGAGGCTCCTCTCTTTCCAGATCAGTGTCAAAATGCCCACGTTGGCAATGAGGATGAACATGTAAGCCAAGAGCAGGAATAAGAAGATAGGGTACTTGTTAGTCTTGGTGACCCGTAACCCCTCCATCCGAAGAGTGAGGCTGTTGTATGTATGGTTTTCCATCAGAGCTGTGCAGAAATACAAGAAGAGAAAAAGAGAGGAGAGACAACATTGAAGAGCATTAGGGTTAAGGAAACGCTTAATTAGCCTCTGTAGAATTTGACATTGCATTTAGCTAATACTTTTATCCAAAGCAACTTACATGTAGAATCCTGAAACTACATTGTCTTCAAATAAAATAAACCTTTGTAAGAGATAGCCTTTCTTTTGTTTTCAGTCTGCGATGGAAGTATGTGTAATTATTTTCAAAACATTAAACACTGGAACCACTGATGTAGACAACATTAGCAATTACAATGAATAACCGTTCAGTCTCAACAGTACAGAACAGGACACACAAAGAACTAAAGGCTTTCGATCAGTGCTAATGAAAACACAGACAATAGAAAACTATGATATTATACTGTATGTACAAATGTACTAAAGAGAGGACAAAAGAAAAGCATCAAATAAGTGTACTTGAATGTTAACGAGTGAAGGTCTAACTCTTGTAAAAATTGTAAAAGTATTGACATAAAGCTGAAAGGAAAACAGAAATAGTATATATTTATGTGCTCATTGCAGATTTGTTTGAATCTCTAATCTAGTTTATTTAAATTAGTTTACCTACCCAGGTTATTTCAGATGTGTGCTGTCAAACATTAAGGTCATTTACATTTAGATCTCACCTTTGCAAAGAATGAATCAACCAAACCAACTATACTTAAAAATGCCTGAAAACAAAGTAACTTACACTGATGGTTCCGTTCAATGCACGTTAATGAAAGTCAGAAGAACAACAGGAACAACCTCTCTGTGTGACAGTCTTCAGGCCTTCCTGTTCAGGCCTCCTTTGAAGAATACACTCAATGGAGTCTATTTTATCAGCCCTATTTCCTGTGGGAAAACCTTGATCACTACCCAATAAAACATTATGTAATCTTCATGGGTTACTTTGATCCTGCTTGTTGGTTGGGAGTTCATGTAAATCATTCTGTGTTCTTGTTATTTTGTAATCTAAATGCAATCCTAACCCTAACCCGGCGTCTCCGGGGTGCTGGAGAGTCATTTTCAGGCTCCTCTCCACAGTTGTTCCCCTAAAGATTATTTTAAATCATTATTTTTGCATTTAAATTATTTATTTTAACATTAATATGGTTCCCTAACGCAATGCACATAGTCTGGAGCTCACTGGGGTCCTGCATATGCGTTAACCCTTTAACTGCCGGACCAAGAAAAAAGCTATGGAATATTTTTTTTTTTGCATTTTCTTATCAAATGGGCCACAAATAAGCACAAACACNTCAGTTTATGGAGCTTATCCCACAAATCCTGGAGGTTCCAGGCCAAATTTGGGAGCTCATAGGCGGCCTGCCATGCGCCCCCACCCGTGGAAAGAAGAACAAATTCAATAAAACGGTCAATTATATCTTAAAATAATCAAAAATGAAGTTTTAAAAAATTCTCTAAAAAACCACTAAGTGCCAACGGAGAAGGGGCTCAACAAAGCTCAACCCTTCGGCGCTTCGGGCCGAAGCCCTGGACACTTTTCCACTCCCCCGTTG